TGTTTTTCTTTTCATACAGTATGCCTTATGTGCCGCTTCTCATATGGGAAATGACCTCGATGATACTGTAAACCCGCCGCCGCAAAAACATTACATTGGCCGTCGCACTGTAAAGCGGAAAGAATAGTATATATAATAGCCATGCATATAGCTACAGTATATAGAGAAAAGTAATATAAATGAGTTATAAAAGAAAAACACCTTGAAAAGTTCCGGTAGTGTTAACTAGAACGAAATGACCATTCTAGGGACTCTGCCTCCGAAAAAGTGCTATCGGAGGAAATTACTCGAAGGAAACAGATACTAGACCCTGGACTCAAATGCGGACCTTTTACTCTGCTCACAGCCACAAAAATAAGAAAAATCATCGGAATTCACGCCTGGTGGCCTTTCACGGACAGCTGGGACCCCTAACACCGCGGCTGTCCGCGAACGTCCACCATACGTCCCTGAAGGCGTCTAACCACCGATTCACCTCCTCCCCTTCTCCAGGCTGGCTGGATATACGACAACATGTCTGCTCAATCCAGTCAGGCGGTCTACAGAGAACAGTTAGCAGAAACTCTGGTGTCCCAACTTACTCATGTCGCCAGAGACTCGGATGTGGACATCTTCTCCACGCTTTGCGCGACGATGCGGCGGACCCTGCGGAATGCGAAGACTGGGACCGTGTCTGATATGTTCGAAATGGACAACAAGTTCAAAGGGTACGTCTAGCATTAACAGTCCTGCATTCTCTCTGACTAGAACAAGACTGATTCAGAAGGCGAGAATCAAGTCCCAAGATGATCTCGCAAATGCTTTGGAACATACGTATTCCGCATTGCGTGCAGATGTTGAGGAGCGGCTTCCCATGGAGTTGGGGATTAAGATGGCAACTCTGCCGGACCATCTACAATTCCTGGTGCGCAGGCTCAGAATTGTTGTTCTTACATCCAATCTCAACCAATCCAGATATGCCTATCACTTCCTCCCGCCCCCGCGACACATACCTACGCCTCCATTGTTCTCGACAAGGCCAAAGATCCCTTTCGCATCCCAAGCGCGTTGACATGGGAAACTATCATTGCAGAGGAGCCCTTCGAGGGACAACACTGGGAGAAGCTCGCCTCTGAACCTCATCCCGGGAAAGGCAAACGACGTTCGAATTCTTGGTCCTCTTCTGGCTCGGGAGACGTGCTGACAGGCGAAGATGACCTACACTCCACTCCAACTTCACCATCCACTACATTTTCGTCCATCAAGAAGCAACAGGACAATTTGGAAGACTTCGTCAGTCCCTCCGAACTCGCTGCTGCGACAGCCCAAATGGAGTTGGATGACATGTTGGATCGCCAATATTGGAAGGAACATTGGCGAATTGATGTGGACCTCCACGAACCATTCGACTTGTCAAAGGCAGAAACGCTTGGACCAACTCTCATGGGGATTTCAGCACGAATCTATGAAGTAGCAGGACGATTTTCTGTGCCAAGCCGTGGGGTAACATCTCACATGACTACCAGAACTGTCCTGTTCGCTCAAATAACGTGTAGAGTTTCATAAATGAAGTGGATGCTGTGCGCGAAGTCTTGCTCGCTCTCCAAGGGCTCGATAACAATCTCCTAGTCCTGCGATCATCATCCGAACACGGTCTACCCGCTGTTGAAATTCACCGCTCTGCGCCTCTCGTCGTCCACTTAACTTCCACAACATACTTTTCGCTCTTGACCACCTTCGCCTCAGCAGCAGTCATCCCATCTCGACTGCATCACTTTCTCGGGATATTAGGTTGCAGGTGGCGAGGATCATCTCACAACCCCGTCTCCCTCACCGCCGAAGCGTTCGCCCAAGCCGTAGACGAGCAAATTCGAAGTTTTCGTTCGTGGTGTTCTGACAAAGAGCACGCGCTCTGCATTGCTCAAGCCGGTGGTGGGCCATCAATAGCTGTCAGCTTGCTCAGTCTATCTCATGAAGTCGAGGAACGAATATCCATTCTGAGTCTACTGTTGGACATTGTAACACAGCTTCACGAAACGGCTTCGTCAGAGCAAGGAGAACTGGAAATGATGGACGAAGTAATTTTCGGCATACCACCTCTCGTCTTATCAAGCAGCCTTCTAGATCTTTTGTTCGCTGCCTACAAGACGCAGTATAGCTTGGCAAATGAGATCAATGCGAAGATTCTTCTCCAGATATTCGTCGCAGTAGCCCAGCCAATCTGGAAAGCGACATCCGATTGGCTATTGGAAGGAAAATCCGGAGAACTGAGGTACGAAGAGGATGAAGTTATCTCTATCGACACTGGGGATTTCTTCGTCCGCCACGATGGAGAAGTCTTGATGTCGGACCCATCATTCTGGCGTTTCGCGTATACCGTCCACATGTTGCCCCGTAAGAAAGACGACGAGTCTATTCCTGCATTCCTTCGATCCATATCGGCCGATATTTTGGCTGCCGGCAAAGCGAAAGCGTTGCTGATCGCCTTGGAGCACGGAGCTGCTATCGTCTCAGCCCCTCGGCCGTTGTCCGATCTCCTTGTTCAGTCTAAAGAAGAGTTGTGGGAGCCTCGCGACCTGGAAGCTGCCGTACGACAACATCTTCTCCCGATGTGCTTGCTCTCTCAACAACAGCTATATACCATCGTGGTGGACACCTGTCGGATGTGGCACCATTTGGCTGCCATCGAGGACCTTTATTTGTTTCGCCGCGGCGACGTCATGGACGATTTTGCTGATGCACTTTTCACACGCGTAAAAACACCTATCGCTCTATAATTTCTCGTTGCTAATCTTTCCATTGAAGCTAGACACTCGGCATATATGGTTTGACTTCCATGCTGTGAACGCAACATTCCGGGATCTTCTTGCGACGCGGCAGCAGAATAATGTTGACGCCTCCCTCGTGCGCTTTTGGTACACCAAGCCGCGTGAAGATGCCGCTGCGAGGATGACCAGATGTCTATCAGGCCTTTCCGTGACGTACGAGGTATGTTTGTTTTCATGCGAGTCTACAAGCACGTCGGCTGAACGCATGCCAGGTCCCTGTTCCCCTGCTGTACCTCTTGACACCCGATTCTCTGCTGAAATATTCAACAATCTTCGCCCTGGTCATGCAAGTACGGCGTGCGAAGCGATTGATTGACAATATCATCGTCCGTCGCGGTCTTGGATCTCGGCTGGACTTACTGGAAGAACGTCCGGCAGAAGAAATGAAGAATTTCTTTGGGCTACGAAGCAAACTGGGCTGGTTTCTGAACACCCTGACGTATTTCCTATACACTACGGTGATCCAAAGCCAGCTCCAGACGTTCCACAAAACCTTGGAGGCCGCTCGTAACCTCGATGAAATGATCAAACTTCACGACCAGCACCTCGAGAGTCTGTCGACCCGATGTCTGTTGTCTGAGTCTACAGCGTCTTTGCACCGAGCTCTCCTGAATGTGCTGGACATCGCCCTGCGTTTTGGCGACTGCTATAATGCGCTGTCCAGTGATCCCCTTGATGGGGCTCGTCGAGTAGGCGTGAACCAAGATCGCCGAAAAGGAAGAACGAGGCGTCAGCGCCGACACCTGCGAAAACAGGATTTCGTCGGTTATGCGGAACATATCCCTCACGTCTCGGACTCCGAGTCCTCGGATTCGGACGTCGACGAAGTGCCAGACGTGTCTTTCGCAGATCAATCAATGTCTCTGGCCGCTGTATCTTTTGCGGACGAGAATCTCGGAACTCGAGTGGAGCACATGTCAAACGAACTAGACAAACTTGTACGTTATATCCGAAGAGGTGCAGAGAAATTAGGCGCCGAAGGAGGCCAAGACTCATCCTCCTTCGAGGCGCTGTCCTTCTCACTTTGCGATTGGGATTTATGATGTTGATGACGTGTTATAACCTACCACGTGTAATATTACATACACTGATGCCCCTGTGTAACATGACTTGAGTTCCTGACACGAAGTGATGCCCCTGTATAACATGACTTGAGTTCCTGACACGAAGTAGACGGGTTTACAACAGGTGTTCATTTCAGTAACATGGTCTCACTTAATCTCTTATATCTCCATAAATAATACCACAGCGTGTAATCATGTCAAAAAATCGAGACAAAATCAGCACAGCCGAAGAGATCCGGGAAAGCAAGCACGGATCCACCGCCGCCTCGATGAGCTCATTTCCCGTCCACGCGCCTGTTGATCCCACCCAGCAGGATCTTCGTCAGAACGCTAGCATCAAGTCCGCCTTCAGGCAGCAACGTCCAATCGACCATATCCCTGATCCCGTGCGCCTTTCCAAGCCCATCATCCAGATACTGCAGAACTTCCGTAGCCTCCGGGTCGTCTCCCAGCTGCACGAACTGGATGCCGACCTGTGATAGTGGGAAATTGTGCGCGTCTAACCTACGCGCTGCGGCAACGATCACGGATTCCGGGTCATCCGAAGGCACACCATCAGTAAGGACGATGAAGTTGATTGGTCGAACCTTCGGGAGAAGGGCTGCAGTGCCTAGCTCGACCGCTTCTTGGTACTTTTCCGCTCTGCTCAGGTAGGGCAGCAAGAAGTCTTCTAGTCGACCCGCGATCTCGGAGTACTCTCCAGCAGGATTGACAGAAGCAAAGAGCTGCATCACTGATTCTGCGGTCTGGCGTCGTGTCAGAGGTGGCTGGATGATTGATCACAGGGCATACATACCCTTAGATTCGTCCCTTCTCTCTTGTCATTCACGAAATGGATATCCACACCGTCGATGTCGTAGCGCGCTGCGAGCAGAGCTATCTCCGCCAAAGCATCCTTAGCATCATCCCAGAGATCAGCCATCTAATGAACCGTCAGTTCCGTGCTTCCGCCAATGCAGGAAATTGACTCACCGAGACGCTATCGTCTACCAAAATGATGGTGTCGTACTTCCTTAGCAGCGCAAGCGGATCTTCGATTCCGGTCGATCCTCTCCTTCTATGACTCCCACGGCTCCTGCCAGAACTGTGACTAGTCTGCCTTGCGACCTGCGGCGACACCGCCTCTTGTGTAGGCGACTGTACACGAAACGATGTGTATCTCGAGCCTGCAGAGGTGGGAGGAGTCGGCGGTCGATAGACGCTCGCATGTGGCCTAACAGTAGGAGGCATATCGGCACCATCGTCCATTCCTGGAGAGACACCGGGAGTGGGCGGAAGCTCACGATCCCGTTGCCGGTGCCCATGGGACTGTGCCCTGCGATGAGACGAGGCAGAGGAACCGCTGCTCTGATGTCGCCTCTGTCGTGTATTGTTCTGGGAATTAGTTGTCGATGGTGCGCGTTCCACAACCGGTTCAACAATAGGGGAGGGGAGATCGATAGGGGTCTGCTGGGGAGTAGAGAACTCCTCCTCCGGCTCGCTGAACGTCATGTTGGTGTGATCCATAAGTGCTGAGATCTCCTGCACCAACCGCTCATCCACTGGTGAATAGGGAGGCGGAGGAGCACCTGATCCTACCGATATTTGGGAGAGAGGTCGTTCGGTATTCAGTATAGGCATGATGGGAGGTAACAGGGGAGGCAGGTCTGTTACCACTGGTGGGGTACGCTCTACCCTTGGAGCAGGAAGCTGCGGAGGTTGCGAAGGCTGAGGAGACGTACGAGAAACAGTCCTCGAAGCTGGTGCACTTGCTCGGAGTGTGTTGCTTGCCGTTGCAGGACTTTGATTCGGTGGTGAAGCCCGACGAGGAGTGCCTAAAGGATTCGGTCGGACAGTCGTCGAAGCTCGTCGTGTAGATGCTCCTGTCCCTGCAGCCGGTCGAGAGGAATTGGAAGGTGACCTGCCTGCCGATGCGTGTCCAGGTCGTTGCAAGACTGCCACATCACGCCTCGCTGTCGGGCTCGTGGGGGAGCTCTGTTCGTTGCCCATATTGGGGTGTTGCCTGATATCGTCGGTCTCGTTAATAGGTCGTGGAGGTCGTTACAAAGCAAGGAGGGATATATACAGATGTCGAACACATGCCCTCGAGCACGAGGATATGCGGATATCCAAGTGTAACACTTAACGCTCCCGGAGAGAAGACGTTGGTGAAAGGCCGAGGGCGTCGCACGCTTGGACTTCCCTTGTAATTCCGCTTCTTGGCTACACGGTGGCAATGCAGAATCAAAGTATTCCTTATGGACTGGGCGTTCTTCTGGGCGCTTAACGCACCTAAATGGGCATGGGGAGTGATACGGCAAACAGGAATCCAGTATGGTGTAGAACATGATATTTGCAAGAGGATGTACTCATTACATACTGTTAACAGTTAAGGGGATCTAAGATGGTGATGGTAATCATACAGCTCGCCCAACCTCGCGCCTCCCAGTACCTTTGTACACTTCCCTCCAGCGAGACAGCGAGAGACGAGCTAAGATCAGAACTTACAGGCACAGAACAGAATGAGGACGTAAGCTGACTGTTTTCTTCCCGCTGGGCATATTTACGTCGGCACCAGGCCATGCGATTTGCTGGCCCGTTACCTTCGTCAGCATGACTGTCCCCACTTTTGCCGAGTCTTATATCATGATGCTGGGACCGCAGCGCCATTTTCAGGGGTAATCTGTTGATCAGGAAGTGCGGAGGGAACAACTGCGAGGGGAGATCTGGCGTGCCCATTCGTCGTTTTTGAAAGTGGGTTGGCGCTCGCAGCGTCGGATAAGCCTAGTAGGCCATCATGGTCCCCAGTCAGAGAATCTCTACGAATATGATCAGTGGTAAGACGCCATGCACGATGCGGTTTTTAGGTACGCACTTTCGCTGTTTCTTGTGAGGCGAATAGTCGCCTGAGACGTCGTGTGGACTCGTTCGACTTAGCGGCTTCTTACCATCGCCGGCCTGCAGAATCCGTTTGTTAGTCCCACAAGCGCGACCTCGCAACTACGATGCAACGAGCGCGTAAGCGGCGCACCTTTGACTTGGTACGCTTGACTCCCTTTCCCGCCAGCGCTTGCCGCACACCACCTTCAAAACAATTGTCGGGCAATGCAGAGTGCTTCACGTATCGGATGACGATGCCCATCTGTTCTTCCTCGTACAGGTCCCAGAGCTTGACAGTCTTGACAAATTCGATCGTTGGGTAGGAGATGTCGAGTTTTCGGGGGCCAGTCTGCCCAGCTATAGGCGCATAATGTATAACGACGTCATACAAAGGGTCTGCAGGCTCACCTGGCTTTGGTTCTACTCCCAAACCAATGTAGAACGTCTTCATGAACACCTTGCTAACGCCGTCCTTGCCCTCATGTTCCGTCTCCGACCTCTTCAAAACCTCATCATCCATCTCGTACTTCGCCACCGCACGGACTTCGTCGTCGTTCAGACAACATACGACCTGGTCGAGACCTTTCGTGAATGGATGAGCTATCTCTACCGCTTCTTGCAATTCGAGCTTCCCGACGAGCAGACGGATCTTCGATTCTACGGTTCCAGCCCTGTGTTAAGCCTCAGCCTTCGACCAGGGGCGCATCAGGTCGCGCGACTCACCACTTGTGATACATTTCCTGATTTCCGGAAGTGATGATGATCTGCAGATAATAGCGATACATATGGAAAAAGTCATGTTTCTCAAACAAGTTCGCCCAGGGCTCGCCGGCTTGGATGATCTTCTCCACGATCTGCGATCCGCGTCTTAGTTCGTTTTGCATGATTTTCATCGTGGAATGGGTGACGTTGTGTGTGGCACACATGGAGGGGTACGCGGGGGTGATAATGGGCATGAGATGGGTGCGATCGGAGGGATATATCTAGGACGTTGGTTAGTCGTGATGTTCAGCAGCAAACATGCATGATCATACTTGTGGATTCCAGACGCGAACATTCAGTGGACCATCTTCGATCGCCTTCAACAATATCGGCTGAGGCCAAGCCCACTGACCAATGATATGGAAGAATCGGCTGAGGATACTAGCAGCGTCATATTTCGGGAACAGCTGGCATATACGAGCCACAAGCATGGCCCAAGCGACACCGCCCAGGAAGCCAATCACGTTCGAGTAGATAGCACGACGTTGGGCCCAGAGCTTGACAGCTCGGAGCGCGTCGCGGAATACCACTGGTTGGGGCACCAGTCGGAGGATCTCGTCCGTCACTCGTGACCCACCTAAGCTCCGAACATCGCGTTCATCGAGGTTGCGCAGTAGGTTGTCGTCTTTTAGCTCGAGGTCGTCCGGTATTTGCGTGAGGTTGAGTCGCGCAAAGAGGAAGTCGACATGGATTCCAGACACGATCGCTTTGATCACAGGTACGAATGCCTCTGGCACACCCTGGTTGTGGCATCAGCACTCGGTTCAGCCCATCCTAAGGTAATCACGCACCGACACCTCCGTGACACCCTCCATGTTGAGCAACATCGGCTCAAACACGGTGAAAAAGTGTTCTCGGCTAACATGCTTCGGCACCACACATATAGTGTCGATATCTGACCCCGGTCCGTGCACACCAAGCCGATACGAGCCAGAAGTGAAGATCTTCGCGCCAGCAGCCTTGGCGGCCTCTTCCGAAAAACCGAATGACACTGATACTTTCTCCACAAACTGTTTGACGAGGCCGGCGATCCGCCCTAGCACCTGCTCTCTACACACGCGGATTAGAGGCGGATCTGACACCGAGGTGGGGTTGTGCCTCACCGTAGACGACCCTCTTCTTCGCTCTCGAAGCTGCCTTGATGATGCAGCTCTTCCATCAGCCGCTCGGTAGCCTTGATCTCCTTCTCCTGTGGCGGGTTCCATGAGATAGGCTTCGTGGTACCCCACTGTACCTGTTCTTGTTCAGCCATCATGTTGTGCTGCTGCGTGTCGTGTCGAGTGCTGATCAACGAGGGAACGACGCGCTGAGGGAATAGATATCGTAAGCAGACGCGCGTCCCCCAGTCGTCAATCAACAAGTCCCAAGTGAAGCCCTTATATCCCACTTAACCCTGTTCCCAGAACACAGAACTGAGGACCAAGTGAGTGCAAGAGATCAAGGCCAGCTGCAGACTGCGATGTGAGTTAAAGAGCAAAGAGAGCCAGAGACCGTCCCTTTGCGGAAGCAATTAGAAGCTGAGGCGCTGTCGGTTCCGGTTCCCAACCCTGGGCGCGTAATTCCGGCGTTCATCTAATTATTGGGCGATGTGTGATCCCCGCACCGTATTTACTGTATATCATACATCCCAGTTCTGCTTCTCGAATCAAAGCTGACAACATCACTTAACATCCCGGCTTCCCCGTGCCTGGTATAGGCATTTCCTCACATGGGAAACGCACGTTCCTAACACATAACATCAGCCAACCTCCCACGGTCATCTCTTCCTGGGATGCGTATGGACCGCTCACTCAGCCCGCGTTCATTAGACCAGACCGAAGCACGGCCTGCGCTCTACGGCCTACGACCTACGACCGCTGGGGGAAGCACTGGTCAACCGCCCACCTGTGGGGAGATCAGCAGACTGGGATTGTCAGGTGCCCCGTGTTCCTGTGTTCCTGTGTTCGGGCTGGACTACCCCTGTTCTCCTGGCTGACCAACCCCCGAGGTCCACCAGCCTACCGCGTCCTGGATCAACCAGGCACAAGTGTAATTTGTTCAGTCCACTAGTGTTGATTCTTGGAGGTCGAATATCAAGTATCAGGCATCTGGCATCAGGCATCATATGTCCAAAGTCTTCCCCAGATGACCAACAACCCACGGGGTACACCGTCCTCCTACACCCAGTCCATCCAGTATCAGGTATCAATTATCAATCGCCAATCACCAATGCCATGCGAGTCTCAGGTATCAACCATCCAACCCATTCCCCATCTGACACCCCGTACGGGGAGGGTTAACCCCACCCAGTACATCTCGTACAGTATCAGCAGCAGTGTAAATTATCGATTGTAAGCTATCGACTACCACCCATCCCCGACCCAACTCCGGGTTACACACCCAATCGTCATACGAATACAGTACAAAAACAAAAACAAATCCAGATACAAGAAGTCAAAGCTACAAAAGTAGCCCTAAACGAACGAACGAACGAAAATAATCTTACTGTACTCTAGTACTCAAACATGTCTTGTCTAAGGGCTCCCCCACTCCCCCGGCGGCGGATGGCAACAAGACTCCCGCTCATGAGCCCATACTGCCATACCCCTGCCCCTGCCCCTGCCCCTGAGTATACCCCTACCCCTACCAGCTCAGTCTCTGCTTCATCCCCATCCCCCCATCCCCTGGCAAGCCAACCGCCCCCATATCCGCAAAATACTCCCCGTCCCCATTCTTCTTCCCCGCTCTCGCTCTCCTCACGCAGAAGAAAGCGATCACCAGTATTAGGACAAGGGTTAGGATCCCGATAACTAGCGCTGCGATCGCCCCCGAACTGAGCCCTCCTCTGCCTGCAACAACCGCAGCCGTAGAACCTGCCGAAGCCCCCGCGCTCGAGGCAGAGCCAGAGCCAGAGGTGGTAGAATTCCGTTCCTCAGCATTAGGCACTCCAGCCTGATCAGTTCCCTGGACCGGTTCACCCCCGAAGGGCCAGAACGCCCCGTCCACAGGCTGAATACAAGTCAGGGAGTCCACGTCCAGGTCTGCGAAACCCGGTTGCAGGGTCGAGTCGAGCGTTGTAGTGATGTTCCAGACGAATGCTTCTGGTGCTGGGAGGATTTGGTCGGCTGAGCAGTTGGGGCCGCGGGAACCGATGAAGGATGTGTTACCGGAGAGGGAGTTGCCGATGATCGTGAAGTTCTCTGCGGAGGAGACGGCTATCCCGTACCCGAACTACGTTGCTTGGCTGTCAGATAGCGCGTTAAGGAAGTGGGGAGGGGGGGACTCACAGCACCGGAGAAGATGTTATTCCTCGCGACCCCGTTCCGGCTCACGTTGTTTCTAAAATGGTCTCCAAACCACGTTCTTGGCCCCACAGCAAGTCCAATCTTGACGATCACGTCCTCGTCATTGTCCCCCTTCGTCGCAGTCTGTTCGTTCCCCTCCGTAGCCAGGCCTCCAACAACAAGGTTGTTCTGCACCACCGTGCCCGTAAAATCCCCGTCCCAGGGCAAATAATCCACCATATTGAGCCCTCCGAGCAACGTGTTATTCGTGACCCAAATAGTGTTATTCTCGACCAAACTGCCCGGAGAACCGAAAACGACGATCCCGCCATCAGTAGGGTTGTCAATAAAGTTCCCCGCGACGTGTGAGTTCCTGCAGCTCAGGCTGATCCCGTCCGCCCATTGCATGAAGAGGTCTGACCCGCACGGACCGATATCGTTGTTGATTATGCTCGCGTTGTTGCATGTGAAGGGTCCTTCGGCTATGTGTAGGCAGGACCAGGAACGCGGGTCGAACGAGTGCACGTATTCCACCAGCTGGCCGGAGGTGGGCCCACCCATCTCCAGGTTCGCTCCGCCAGAAGTGGGGATAGCCCCATGTCGCGTGCCGTTTACCTGCAGTGCGGGATGAGCTGATTACCTAGGGAAAGGGGGAGGGAAGCGAACCTGGATATTACGCACTATCGCCCTGTCACACCCTACACACTGGGCGTTAATAGCCGTCGTATGCCCCGTCCCGTTAGCCACGACTCCATTAACGGTCAAGCACGCTCTGCTGTCGTCCGTCGGGTACCCGAGCGTGTATATCTCCTGATCGCTCGCAGTGAAGTTTATAGGCTGGAGAATGAGGTACTCCTGCCCTGGGCAAAGAGCGAGTGTGTCCCCAGGTTTCTGGAGCGCGGCTTGAAGCCGGTCTGTGACGGTGTTCGCTGGGGCGGCGGGGATGCAGTCTGGGGTTTGACGTTTGGCGTAGGGGGAGGGGAAGCGTTCTGTTGCGAGGTAGAGGGAACGGACGTGGTGGGGGAGGGAGGGGATGTCCCAGGGGTCGAGGGCAAGAGTGAGGGGGAGGAGGAGGAAGAGAGTGGGAAGCATGTTCTGTGGGAAGAAGGAAAGAGCGCGTGTGGGTGGGTTGAGTTGGTATCGCCTAAATTAAGAGGAATGTTCGGTATAGTCGGTCGTTGGCGTCTTGTACAGGTATAAGAATAGACCGCCTAGATGACCGAGAGAGAGGATGGGCGATGCGCCCTGAAAGAGAAAGGCGTGGTGAGGTCGTGAAGGGCGTGAGCAAGGGATGGATGGATATAGGGTCGCCGACTTAGACGGAACTGCGATGGATGGTGGATAGTTGACGCTGCGAGGTTGTACTTGAACTCACGATCGTCAGTGTATTTATAGATAAGTGTGATTGCACTGGAAGGGGCAAATGCCCGACTGTGTTTGGATAGTATACAGGCAGGGATATGCACCCCCTTACGCTGTCCCCTGTTTGGCGGTCGGTGTATGCATATATGCACAGGGATGATTATGCTCAAACGACGGGCAGAGGGTATAATAATTATATCCCCTGCATAGCGCTTAAATAACCCGTATTCTTCTGTTCTAATGAACACCGGAAACTCTCACACAGCGGGCATCGCCGGCATCGCCCAGTGGCTGTACCCCAACTCCGACCGGATAAACTTCCATAAATGATACTGAGGCATCTCACATTCTCCAGTGAATGGACACACATAGACTTACTCCCATTGACAGTAAAGCGACAACAAAGCTACACACCATTGATGATGGTAACCTTGTGGTCTATGAGTAAACAACGGTGTGTATAGAATGAGGCTCGCGGTTACCCTAAAGAAGGAACGTGACTGCACGTGCTGTCGCGTGGGTTAAACACTACGCAGTGAGGGTGTGAGGGTTGACTTCTCCCACCAGGGCGTTGGCCCTTCTGACGACACTGACGACTGGACGACTTAGGCGCATATACCTTGCTTACTTCTCCTGCAGGTAACGTCGACGACTATCAACCTACCGCACGACAACCATCCCACAAATCAGCACGAAGGGAACTTGAACGACTGCTACACGACAAGAATAGACGCATATACGTACCATCCACGCACACCATGTCCTCCCCTCTCCTGCTCATAACCCTCATCCTATCCCTCATCTCCCTCCTATCCTCATCCCACATCCTCCTTCTCCTCCCTCTCCCCTCCCCGTCCCCCTCACGCCCCCTCACCCCCTTCTCACTGACACGTATCACCCTCGCCCTAGTCGACATCCTCCTTCTCGCTCTCTGGATATGGCAGTCAGTGCTCACCGAACAGTCCCATCTCACAGGGCAAGAGCAAGACCCAGGAACAGTAGGCAGACTATGGGTCGTTCTCTCCGCTCGGTGCTTCTTCCTTATCCCATCTTGCCTCTCCCCACGATGGACACTCAGCAAACGGCTCTCAGTCCCCGTCTGCTTACTGGGGGGGACGACACTGATCCTCTGCCTCCTTGTACCTACGATCAGGGGATTGGCGTACATCCCCCTCCTCCTTGGGCTGACGAGCGCTCTCACTCTCCTCAGTACGACGAGCTTCCTCCTCTCCCTCCGCACCGCTCGCTCCTGGCCAACAACGACTCACACCAGCCTGCACTCCCCTTCCCACACCGTAGGGGGACGCAAACGCACAAACAGCTGGCTTTCTGTCCCTGGGAGTACCCATTCCCGCCTGCCGAGGCGAAGCTCGGCAAGCTCTGATATCGAGCAAGTGACGTCGAGTTACGTGACCGCGCCCTCGCATTCCCTCTCTCGTGAGAATATTCCCTCGCACGCACCCGGTGCAGGAGACGTAGAACGCGCCCTCTCACCCACCAGTCGCCCAAGTTCACCAGCCTTCCGCTCCCCTTCCCCTGCATATACAGACCTTACCACCCGCACGCGGAAATCGAGGGCCGAGCTCACGCTCGTCCACAGTTCTGCCCCAACATGGGTAAACCGATCTGCTCTAAAACAGTACCAGTCTCGGGTTTCCCTGCCGGAGCCGCCGGCAGATGCGGGGAGAGGGATGAAGCTGCTCGTTCTGGGAACTTATGTTCTGCTGCCTTTCGTATGTCATTTTCTAGTGCTGGTGGGTGGGCGTCGCCTGATGCTGATGATAACAGGCGCTGATGCTCCCGTTTCTTGTACGTGGACTCACGAGCGTAGGGCTGGCGGAAGAAGTACTCTTCTCCCTTGGAGTTACCCTTCCGGGGCCGGTGATGGGGTTTGTCACGCTCGGGGGGTGGCTGTGGACTCGGGTGGGGAGAGTGGAAGAAGAGGAGGAAGAGGAGGTTTGCTTTGGGGAGGAGGGATGGGGCTGGAGACCGGAAAGCGTTGGTATGAGGGATGGCAGGATAGGCGAAGGGTTGTCGCCGTTGATGAACACTGGCCGATTATCGCCCAACGCTTTTACGGATCGGCATGAGCCCGGTTCTGCGCTTCTTCCAGTTCGGAACGGATCAGCACTAGATGAACCACCCCGCGCCTATCTAGAAACCCGCAAATCACTCCCCGACTCCTCCAGTCCTGGACAAACCTCGCGCCTGTCAACTTCGAGCCAGGACGGGCTTGCCCGTCCTCCCCGGGCGAGGATGCACGACTGCCCCTCACCCTCACTCACTTCTCCCGACTACTGTGAGTACCCCGAGTCCTCCCAGTCGCCAGCCAACCGCAACACTCGGATCGACCCCTACTCAATCCCTCTCATAACGCGTACTCCTCCAACGCGGCTTTTCACCCGACCCACCGATACCCCAAACAGCGCACACACCGTCTGGTCCGCTGACCAAACCACACCGGCACCGACACCGACGCCGGGCCAGGTCAGAGTCCTCTACCTTCCTCTTGCGGACAGCCCTCAACGAGAGGAGAACACGGGGTTCTTGACTACTGTTCTTGGTGAACTTCCCCCGCTGGAGGCGGACGGCAGTGGGAGTGAGAGTGGGTTTATGACGTATCCTATTTTGGCGATGGGTGCTGCGGATAGAGAGGATGGGGAGGTGAGTGGGGATGAGGATGGGGAGGTGAGTGGGGATGAGGATGGGGAGGTGAGTGGGGATGAGGATGGGGATGGAGGGACTTTGTCCCCCGAGGCTGAGGCTGAGACTGGGGAAAGCATGGATCCGAGGATGGATAGCACTCTTCCCAGTGTACCGGAGTTCTTGAACCTCCTCACGCAGCCTCATCCCTCTCGGACCGAATTTGAGCCCGAGCCTGAGGATCCTTCCCCTCAGCCGCCCACCCCTCCAAACCCAACCCCTCACCCAAATCCAGACGACACACCCACCTCAACCCCCATCGCAAACTACGTCATCACCGGTCAAACCCCCGTCCGACAGGCCCAGCCCACAGCGACCCAATTCTCCCCCGGCGCGGCATCCCGCGCCTTTCACCTCCCCCGGCGAAAGCCCGTCCAACATAGCACGGGGACGCCTTCCCGTATCCCTGGGCGTAAACCTGCAGGCACTAACACCGGCACTAGCAATGGCCCGGGGACGAGTAGTGTGAGCACCCCGACAACAGTGGGATCTCGGATCCCCGTCTTGCCTTCCGCGCCCAAACGCCCCGCAGCAGCGCGTACTGTCTCCACTTTTTCCGCCTCCGGAGTAGGGGAACCGATGCATCCTCTCCGTCTGCTAGCGCTCAGACAGACTTTACACAAGAGGTCATCCATCCCCCGTCGTCCGCTGTCCGAGCTCTCCCCATTCCACTCTCAGGCCGAATGCAAAGTGGAAAACCAAGCCACCCCCGCCCCAGCAGAAAAACGTGTATTCGACACTGACACTCCCCAGCTCCCTTCGTTCCACTCTGCGGAATTCATTTCCACCCCCATCTCGAGCAAGGAAAGGGCAAAACAGAGGATATTGAGGATCGCAGGCTCGGCGGCGAGTTTCGCTAGTGCTAGTAGTCGATCTAGGAGTTTGACGTTTGATTCTATATCTCCTATGAGGATGTGAGGGGTGAGTCGCTGAGATGTGGAACGTAGTCACGAAATGATATTATGTTACTACTTTTGATGTGTTTGGTTTGCTTGATGCTAGGTTTGACGTGGTGGTGGAACATCGGCTGTCGTTGCATGAATAACGATCATGTAGCCAGAGGGTGATTCAACGCATGAACAATGCACTTCAAACCGGGCCGAGTTGATAACGCAAGTATATCAGCATTAGTTCAAATAAGGATACAACATGACAGGGTATCATCAATCGCGGAGACAAAGAAAACAAGACCTAATGACCAATGTCAAACGACTTGATAGAAGAGTATTCAACGGAAACTTCCACGACCACGCCCTCTCCAGCCCGGTCTTGGCGGGAAGTTACCCCTAGGTGCCATAGGTGGTGGACCACCACCCCTTCCGCCGAACGGAGGTGGGAACGGAGCTCGCGGAGGTCCGTAAGGACTCTGCCCATACAAAGCTCTGGGTCCCAAAGGAGGCGCACGGGTACCTTCGCAGCCTTCTCTAAAGGCGTGTTCTGCCCTGGGGGCTGATGGTGGGTATCCACGAGATGGACCAGGAGGGGGAGCGCGATATCCTGGTGTGGAAGGACCAGCATGAGGCTGGAAGACGGGAGACACAGGAGGGGGATGCCGAGGTCCTCGAGGTGGCGACCGATCGCGAGGTGTCCATCTGGGAGACCTTTGGCCGTACCTCGGCGAGCGAGGGGCATTGGGAGGCGGTGAGCGGGAAGGGCCGAAATAGGACGGTGACCTGGGTCGGTGTTCGTCGTACGCTGGCCGTCTTGGTGGGGATGAAGGATATCGGCGCGAGTCATACCCAGGATCGTCGTACGGTGTTCGTCTGCGATCAGGTGAGCGAGAACGGCGATAAGGGCGATCGCGATCGCGATCGTCGTCATAACGTTCCTCGAGGCGGTCTGTTGTCACTTCCCCAACTTCGCCTTCCTCAACACCACCAGCAGCCGGCGACGGCGACTTGGCCTTCTCGGAGATGGGTGCCGACGACGCAGGGCGATCCGATTTAGCAGAAACAGGCTCAGGGAGAGGTACCGCCAGAGGCGCTTGATGCGGGGACCAAAGAGGCACAAAAGGCCTAAGGGCAGCCTCAACAGACGGGAAAGGCGGCACAGCAGCGACGTCAGTCTTGACCTCCAGACTTGGTGGGATTTTTGGTTGTTCCTCAGTGCGCGTCGGGGGAACGGTCTGCTTGGGAGGCTCGGGAACTGCAGGTCGTGGTGTGGTCTTTATCTCGCTCGCGGGTGAAGGCTGGACAGGCGTAGGTCGCTGAGAAGCCACAGGCCCGAATGTCCGTTTGAGAGAATGCGGTTCTATCGGTGTCTCTTTCCGTTCTACCGGTGCAGCAGGTTCTGCAGGCTTGACTGACGCTGTCACAAGCGATTCCTGGGTGGGCGGGACGAGAGTAGGCGCTTTCGGCCCAGGCGACTGAGTCTCCTGGAGACGCACGCTCAAAGGCAGTTTCTCCCTTTCTCCTCTCAACGACTCCTCCAGCCCCAAGAGAGACCTCTCGCCCCTCGGCACAGTAGCTCCCTTCTCCGAAGGAGGGTTCAAAGGACCAACCCTAGCGCGAGGCGAGACAAGTACTGCTGGCAAGTCCGGTTTCCTCTCCGTTAGCGGGCTGTAGAATGGCGCCAGAGCAGCTTCTACATTCACATTGGGCATGTCGATGTGTTCCGGTTTGGGAGGGTTTTCCAGAGGCGCGGCCAGCAACGGCACCGGCAGCTGCGGTTCCTGAATCGTTTCCCCAGGTATCTGTATCTGTACCTCCTTAACCCCAACCACAGGAGTAGCAAGCGGGTTCCCAACCTCCTCAGCCGCAGGAGTTCTGACCGTCTTACCGACTTCACCGCGTTTTCTAGCCGCGGCCCATTCCTTCAGTGTCCATTTCCTGACTGTGGGCGGAGGAGGGGGAGGGGAGGGCTCTTTGGCTGGTGCTGCTGGTGGGGGGGTGGGTTCTTTTGGTATGAGGGGGACGGAGGGCTGGGGTTGGGGTTGGGGTTGGTCGACCTTGAGCAGTTCACGTGCGGTTGGAGGGATGGACACGTCCTGCATGAGGATGTCCTTCTCCTCCCGCTCTAGCAGGTTCCCCGATCCAGGAACAGGCAACAGCGGTCCCCCAGCAGCAGGAGGGGAGGTACCTTTCCCCTCCGGGAAGGAAATAGCAGGCACCGGTTGCTCCACCCCCTTGTCCTTCTCCAACACTAGGTCAGGCAAAGGACTAGCAAACATCCTCCCCAGCTCCTCTTCCTGCACCTGCCTCAACTCCGCATCCACACCGTCACCCACACCCAAGTCCAAATCCAAACCCATTTCCTGGACTTTCCGTCTCTTCACCGGGCCCTCCCCTATCTGCTCATCCTGCACCAAGCGCGGGCGCGTAACACTCTTAGGGAGTTGAGGGGAAATCCCGAGCTGGCCGAGCGGGCTAGAGAGCACTTGGGTTAAGCGGCGTCTTTTTCTGCTCGGACCGGTAGGTGGGGTAGATGGGGAAGGCGCGTTCGCGTTCGCATTCGCATTCGCAGTCGTGGGAGCGGGAGCGGTGGCGGTGGCGGTGGTTGGCTCGCCATAGACAGACGTAGGAGCAGAGGATAAAGGCGAGGAAGGGACAATCGGAGGGAGAAGAGTTGCGGTCGGGACAAGAGGGCCTAGAGGGCCTAGAGGCACTAGAGGCACAAGAGGCACTAGAGGGGGAGGGGAAGGGTCAGTATGCAGTATGCAGTTTGTGCGATTGCGGACCCCGAGGCCGCGGGAAAGGGGGGGGGGGAGGGCGTACCTGGCGTACAAGCCCGACTCGGTTCTCCAGTTCGAACGGCCAGTTCCAGTTCTTCCTCTCCTTCTCCTTCTTCTGCTTCTGGTTCTTCTGGTTCTTCTGCTCCTTCTTCTGCTTCCGCCTCTGCCTGCGCTTGGGCTTGGGCTTGGGCTTGCTCGAGTTCGAGCTTCTGCTCCAGCTCTTGACTTGGCTCGATCTCCTGTTCTTGCTCCTGGTCTTCCTCCTGCTGTTCTTCCTCTTCCTGCTGTTCCTGTTCTTGCTCTTCTCGCTCCCGCTCGCGCTCCTGCTGCAGCTCTTCTCGCTCTTCCTGCTGCTCCTGCTCCAGCTCTTCTCGCTCTTCCTGCTCCTCCTGCTGTTCTCGCTCCCGCTGTTCTCGCTCTTCCTGCTCTTCACGCTCCTGCTCCTGCTCCTGTTCTTCTCCTTGCTCCTGTTCCTGTTCCTGTTCCTGTTCCTGTTCCTGTTCCTGTTCCTCCAACTCGAGCTCCTCCATCTGCTCTTCCATCTGTTCCATCTGCTCTTCCATCTGTTCTTCCATCTGTTCCATCTGTTCCTCGGCCTGTTGCTCAATCTGCTGCTCTCTCTCTTCCACACGTTCGTCCCGCTCCTCTCTCTCCACACGTTCCTCCCTATCTTCCACCTGCTCCCTCTCCTTATCCTCCAGCTCCTCCACACGTTCCCTCCCCCTCCCCCTGCGGCTCTCCCTCCCCTCCCTCCCCTTCCTCCCCATCCCCAGCCCCAGCGCTTCCCTCTCCCCCCGTTCCAACAGCGCCAACCCCCCAAATCCTCCCAAACCTCCCAAATCCCTCTTCTTCCTCCCTTTCTTCCCCGCCGCCCCCGCCCCAGCCCCAATACCAGCCCCAGCCCCAGGGGGTTCCTGCAACCCCTTACCCGCCCCCACTCCCGTTCCCCCTCCCCCTCCCGCCCCCGCCCCCGTTCCAGATACTCCCAGTCCTCCAAGCCCCGCTCCAAGCCCAGCCGCCACCCTCCCCAACAACCAAATCACACACTCCCTCTCCCGTTCCCTCCCTTTCCCGCACGCGCACGCGCAGCTCTGGAATTGAGCTTCTAAGCGCTCGCACAGGTTTTGGGCTTTTTTCTGGGCTGTGATTTGGTTGAAGGAGGGGGGGGAGGAGGGGAAGGAGGTGGTGGTGGTGGAAAGGGAAAGCAGCCAGTGGACTACACTCCCATCCTCCCATTCCCAAGGAACGACAATCTCTTCCCTCCTTCCAATCCCCCCAATACTCACCAGTCCAAACCTCAATTCCCCCTGCACGATCATCGGGCGCACGAGGGCATTAGGCCGACAGGACACCCGGGCAAAACGAGCTTCGTTTCCCCATTCTCTTGCGTCTAGGGCTACGCTCAATGGGGGCCCTAAGATCCGCACGTGCGCTTTAGGGCCGCAGAGCTCTGTATACTGGCTTGTTGGGTCTTGGATGTACTCTTTCCGGGGGAGGACGACGCTCCTATGCTCCAGAATAAGAGTGCCGGGGGGGATGGGGTCGGAAGCGAAGAGCCCGTATTGCGGTGGGCGGGAGTAGACGCTTTCTGATTGTGGGGAAGTGAGGATGGGCTTGATGAGGATGTTGGGTAGGAGGGGGAGGGTGGGGAAGTTCAAGGGGGGGTAGAGTGTGTAGGGCTTGCTGTCTAGGACTGGGGGGGCGGATTGACTTCTGGTGGATGGGTCTGCCGGGGTTGTCACCGTGGTCGTGGTTGTGGTCGTCGTCGTGGTGCTAGGAACACCCTCTTGACCAGGGTCTATGAGTTCTATGTCAGGCCAGACGAGTGCGTTCGCCCGTTCCCACTCTGCAAGATCCCTCCACCAATCCCTAGTCAATGTCATATACTCCGCCGCCCACGCTTCAGGTGGCGGGAGAGCCTCTTCCTCCGCAGCGAGAAACTGGTGCTGAAGGGAAGGGGATGGAGCGTAGGATACCTGTAGCTGTGTGAGAGAGAGAGGAGGACGACGCTGCGTTCGGGTAGAAGTGAATTTCTTCCCTTTGCCTTTTTGCGGTTCTTGACCTGGGGTGCCTTCCCCTGCTGAAGGCGGGCCATCTTCTTCTTTCCCCTGCGGGCGCTGGGCCCTCGGGCCCCTCAGTGCATCCCTAGCAAGGAGCACCCTAGCCAGCCTCTGCTTGAACGCCACGCTGGTCGTGTCCACCTCCCTCGGCGCACAGAGCTCACAATGATACGTCTCCGGCACTGCGTCCGCCAGATCAGGCTCGATGCCCATACATAGCATATGTTGCCAGACATCGCAACTATCACACGCGATCGTGGCGTCCCCTTCTTGGTACCCGACAGAACATACGCAGCGGAATTGGAAGGTGTCATTCCCTTCGCCGACGATTGTTACTTTTGGGTTGGCGCGCTTGGGCTTGCGTTTTGGGGGTTTGGGCTTGTCTGTGGTTGGTACCGCTAGTGGTGCCACTGATGAGGCTGAGGACACTAGGGGCATAGAGGGATCCGCCTTGAACTCGACCGTGACTGGCGTACGGAGCGCCTCTGCACGGAGAGAGGCGATCTCTGTGGGTAAGAGTGGGGATGTAGGCAGAGGGCCAAAAGTGACTTCCATCTTTGGTTCGTGGAATGCGGATGCGGGGAGGAGGGAAGCGATTGATGGGAGGGTTGAGATTGGTGAGAGGAGGGGATCTTGAGGTTGGAGGGGTTTGATTTGGAGTGAGGGGAGGGGGAGGGGGAGGGGGAGGGGGAGGGTCGTCGTCGTCGTCGTCGAGGTAGAAGTGGTCGTTGAGTACGACGATGAAGCGGGTAGAGGAGGTGAAGATTCGTGTGGGTATATTCTGTCTGTTGATGTGAGAGGATACGTCATTCCAGGAGTGCCCATATTTGGTGATACAGAACGATTAGGGAGTGAAGCGAGAGTTGAAGTAGTGACAGAGGGTGATAAAGAGAGAAGTGCAAGTACTGCATCTGCTTCTCTCTGGGGTGGTGGGGGTGGACCAGCAACATTACTGTCAGTGATTTGAGTGTTCGTCATTGGTGAATTGATCGAAGTTATTATATGAGCAAGTCTAGGTAATGCAGGTAATGGCAGTGGAATTGTACTTGATGACGTCGATCGACCATCTTCACTAGACATTGCAAAAGTGAAGAGTACTTCAGTCACTCACTCAGCTCAAGTACACGGAATCAGAGTATAATACTTTCACTATCACGCACAGCCACACACCAGCGCTCTCTCCTTTACCACAATGACCACACGAAAAGACACCACCCAAGCGCGTATCTCTCTCCCAACTCCTGCCCCAAACCCATGGCAGTCCTTCCCCTCCCGCGGTCTCATTCCCTTTCCAACATCGTACAAGCCTGTGATCGTCAAGACCGGAAGTAGGGATTATGTGACTTGTTTAGCTTGGAGCGCCGATGGGAAGAGGCTTGCGAGTTGTGGGTACGAGAAAGCAGTCAGGCTGTGGAATCCCGAGCGAACGGTGTGTCCTCCCTCTTCCCTTCCTTTTCCTGCTCTCATCTCACTGCATGCACACTCGGGTAGACAGATCTCCATCTCACAACAACCTTAACAGGAGCACACGAATTCCCAGTACAACACGTAGCCTGGCATCCGACCAACCCCTTTCGCCTCGTCTCTCTCTCAAAACAAGACCGCACACTCGCATTATGGGATGTCCGTCGTACGTCCCCGCGCTCATGCTGACTGCCAGCGGAAGAGCCTACCCCTAACTCATCGTTGCCCAGAACCGGCTAAACCAGTGAGCACGCTCAAGACTAGCAAGGAGCTGTTGACGGTTGAGTGGCACCCGACGGGGCTCTCCCTGCTAGCGTTGTCCTCCGATGATGGGCTATACGAGATCCTCCCCTCCCCCTCCCCTCCCTCTGGCCCAGACGCAGACACTCCCGACCCCCCCGCAGAAACATACCTCCTCGGACCACGACACGACAACCACGGGCAACTAAACACATTCCTCTTCTCCCCCCTCGGCCTCCATCTCCTCCTCTCAAAGGTCTCAGGCACCCTGGAACTCCTCTCCCTCCCGCAATTCGAGACCAGACTGCGCCTGCCAGCACACGTCAATTCCTGCTATTGTGCGGCCTTGGATCCGAGAGGGTTTTATCTTGCTACGGGGGGGGCGGACGCGATTGTGAATTTGTGGGATACGAAGGAGTGGATTGTTAGGAGGGTGTTTGATGCTGAGTTCGTCCTCCCTGCTTCCCCCCCCCCCCCCCCCCCCCCCCCCCCCCCCCCCCCCCCCCCC